TGCCAGTCCATCAATGAATTAAAGAGCACTATGGCATCTGTCACCAGACCCCCTCAGATCTGCAGCCACTATAGTAGGGCATGGAAAGATGTTCTCAAGCACTTTGCCATCATGATGGAGGGATTACACACTTCCAGATAAGATAAATAATTACATAAAAATTACACACAGCCTTATGCAATTCTATCAAATATCCCTTTCCCAAGTCTAAGTAGCCTTAGAGAATGAGTTAATGGGGTAGTAAAATTTCAAACATTAGAAATAGTGGTAAAGCTTTGTCTTAAAAATCTATGTTCTCATTCAATACAAAGGCTGTTAGAAAGTCCTGGGGAAATGGTGGACAACCACGCTGTCCAGGGCATGCTATTTTGGTTTATTTTAAATAAGAGGAAAAAAAAAAAGATTTGGAAGGCAGCACTTTGACAGGCTGTGTGCATAAGCTCAGATCAATACTGCCTCAGGTTTTTTATTGAAACCAGTCATTATTTCATAAAACTCCTGAACTATCCTTCCTCTCTGATAATACCTTTGGGGTATTACCACAGTAGTGGAGCATACCATTTACTCTTCTTTAATTTTAAATTTTTATTTCTACCCATTAAAATTTTAACAAGTTTAAATCATATCTGGACCCAAGACCCTTCTTTATTTTTGTCTAGAAATAAACATCTACCTCTATTCCCTTTGCTTTGATATTACTATTCACTTTGTGTTGATGTGAATAAAATACCTCATATTACCTATTTTCCTTTTTTCATTACCTTATAGCTTAAACAGAGATTCACTTATGTTATTTCCTTTGACACGAACATTTTCTTGCAAGAAAAGTATGTCCATTAGCCTTGTTATTTTCTGGGTATGAAATGTGACCTGCAACCCAGAGAGTTTTATTGAGGTAAAACAATAATGAAATGCTGCTACTAAGTAGCTATTCTCTTTCCCATCCACCTTACCTGTCATATAAAACAGCAAATCCCAAGCATTCATGTCATTGTATCCTCAAAAAAGAGAAAACTTGAGCTGTCAGAAGATGCCAGTTGATTTTTAAAAAATTTTTCTGACTTGATCCCAAAGTCAAGTTCTGCAAATTCATGATGAAAAAATATCAAAATACAAATTAGATAGCTAATGAATGATAGTGAAAGGGAAAAGGGCAGAGACTCAATGAATTAGAGTAGGAGACAGGAGACTGATAGTGAATAGACAGCCGCAGAGTTGTGAGGTAGGAGAAAGAAGATCTGGAGAGGGGAGGTAAAAGGGGTTTGTGACCCAAAATTTCACAATAAATCTCAGCCTCTTTCTCTCCAACCCACTTGATCCCAAATCAGGGAGGTAAGGTGTGGTCCATTTTGAACAAGGATGACCAAGTTTCCTGAAACTCCAAGTGTATGGAGAGTGGAGTCCTATTATATACTTTGTTCCAGAAACCACACCACTGACATTAAACTCTTCAAGTGAGATGATCCCAAGATCAAAAGTTCTGCCATGCTGGGCTCAATGTTATGGTGCTATATAATTCCACCCTCTGTGAGCAGAGAGTTGCTGAAGAAATAGTCTATGTTCCTGCTGAATCTAGGAAGGTTTTTAAGAACCCTGGAACACCATCACTCTTGTTTGGGAAAATACTCTCTAGAAGTTCTACCTTTCATAGAAGACACAGCATTCCTGACAGTCTTGAGAAGGCAATGTGAAGAGAGCATTTCAGATAGATTAAAATCCTTACCTTTTTTTCTGTTAAGCAAACAAATGCTTTCCAAAGAACTTCACTTTTCATTTATAGGAAGCTGAATCACATGAGGCCTGGGTACAGCTTTCTATCATAGAGGTTATGGGATGTGGAGAGAGTATGTGGAGAAGGGACTCTACATGTGGACATATTACACGTGGTTCCTCCCAAAGCACTGTGTCAGATGAAAACAACAATTTCTACACTGGAGCATTGAAGAAAGTTGTAAAACTTAGAGGAAGTTTCTAATTTGTCTCTTGAAAACAGGATGAGAGAAACTACCCCTGTGCTCTGAGAAACCCTCTGAAACCAGCTATTTTTTTTTTTACCAGTTTGTCTTTGGTAAAAGTGTAAGTAAACACATTTCTTTTTATTACACTGGAAATTTATAGTAATTCCACAAAGGTTTTAGATGTGTAAGGCTTTTATCCTCAGGAGCTCTAAGAAAGCCTTACTCCCAAGGAGTCCCAAAGGATGTCAGTGAGTTACCTCGTTGACTGTAGAAGGCAGGCACTGTAGAATAGTTAAATTTCAACTTGATATGAATTGCAACTGAGAAAACAATGCTCAACTTTTTTATGATTGGCTTAAGTTAGTCTCTTTTGGAGAAAATGAAATTCATTGAAGCCATTTAGATGTTGGTGGACATGAGACCTGGCCCCAACACATCCACTATCTAAATTTAATTAACTACATTAATAGTTTCAATTTCAAATTTTATCTTTTGTAAAGGTCAACTAACAATAATATTATTTTCCCCATTTCTCATCCCATCTATATTTTAAGCCAGTGTAGAGAGAAAAAAGGGATGAGAATTATTGAATACTTTTCTTATGCATTTTTCTCTTATTTCTAAAGATATATTCTCTTCTACACAAGGAAGAAAAACAGGTCTTTTAATTTGAATGTAATCATAAACTATTAAAGTTGGGACATTATGAAATTACTTTCCTAAGGTGGATGGAGACAAGGATTTGCTACCTTGTTATGCCATTGCCTTTGAGATTGCTATTATGAGGTTGACACCAGAAATCCAGAGTGAAGGTAGTAGAAAGAAGCAGGAGACAGATTGCAAAACACTTCGCACTTCAGCTCATGTGTCTGAGTACCAACCAGCAAGCAAGTGTCTGAGAGAAACGTCTTAGGGAAAAGGATGCTGCCAACCTGGACTTTTTTTTTTTTTTAATTACAAACAGGCTGGAGGGATTTTTAGAATATTTTTTTGTTGTGTCACTTAAAGCTTTTAGACCACAGCTTCTGCACCAGTTTAATGGGAGTCTGAAGACAAATTTATAATTTTATCATTTTCTACTATACAATTTTATAAAGACTTAAAGATATAACATAAAACTAGTAATCTCTGACTCAGAAAAAGTGCAGAATAAATTATTTTGTTCTTATTAATCCTTCTTCAACATGAGGAATTGAGGTGAAAAAGTGAGAGAAGACTCACTCAAGGTGACAAAACCCATTAATAACAAAACATGCTTAGAATCTGAATCTCACAACTCTGAGTCCAAAGCATTTTTAAAAATTATTATTATTTCAATAACGTATCAATATTAATGGCATAAGGTTTCTTGTCTGGCAAAACGAAATCAGTCAATTAGGCAAGAGCCTGGGTCAATGATCTCACCAAGGCCCTTCAATCTCTGAGTGAATTCTGTGAAGACTAAATATTTCTTGTGGAGAGAAAGGTTGAGGTACCTAACGACTCCACATAAAGCCAAACCAGGGTACCCAAGGTTTGTCTGAGGGCAGTGAACTCTGGTCATTCAGTCATGAAAACTATGCAATTCAGTATAGATGACAACTGATGCTTGTACTCTTTTGTATTATTATTATTATTATTATTATTATTATTATTATTATGTTATTACTATTTGGTACTAGGGATTAAACACAGGTGTGTCTCTTTACCTCTGAGCCACACCCCTAGCCATTTTTTTTATTGCAAGTTTTATTTTTAAACAACATCTCACTAAATTGCTGAGACTGGCCTTGAACTTGGCCTCCTTCCTCAGATTCCCAAGCCACTGAGTTTACAGGTGTATGCCACCATGCCCAGCACTCTTTTGTCTTTGATCCATGTGTATCTCATGTAAAATCTCAGAGTGAATTAGGACCTTACTTTAAAATTCATTCACTTAAAGTTATATCTTACTAAAGTTAGTGTTCCAATGAATAATAAAGAAATTATTCAGATCAAACCTAATCAATAAAATGGAAGTTTGAAGCAATATATTATTTTACTGAGATATGAAATAGCTAAAGATCACTGAGAAAAACTTTTTTTTCAAGTGATGAATGGAGAATGAAAAAATATTATAGAAAATAATTTAACATAGATAGAGGAAATAACTAAAAGTAGAATTTATTTGAAATATCCCCTTCTAAACTATGTCAAAGGGTGAATTGTAGCGTGTATCAACATCTGCATGATAATGCCAGCAATGTCTATATTCACTTTGCAAACATTTCATTAGGTTAATATTAGAGATGGATTAAACTTTACTAAGTAAAGATATATCATCCATTCATTCAGTCAATTTAGCAATAAAAATGACTTTGTTTATCTACATTTAAATTATCTCTTTATTGATAATTATACCAATAGAATAATTTTCACTTGGTAGTCAAAGTCAAGAAAATTAAAAACATAAAATTAAAATGTTATTCTTTTTTAAAATTGATGTTTTACTCTCTGGTGCCTCTGGCTACTATTTCTTCAGAAAGGGGAGGAAGTCACAGCCCTATGTACACATCTTTAGGAAGGCATTGCTGGTATAGTGGTGTCCCAAGAGTTTCCTTTGACTGCATTTGAATAAGAAATACTGATTGCTGACTCCCATATGGAGTGTGCTCCACTGTCTCCCCACAACAGCTAATTGGTAGCTGTCTCATATCTGAGAAGAGCTATCCACAGGCAGAACTGGACCAATCAAGTCCTATCTCCCAGGAAATGCAAGAAGGGACTCGAATTTTGCAGCCCACACTGAATGTTGAAGTCACCTGACAAAGGAAATCCTTCAGTAGAAGTTTGATGAATCTCTACTCTCTGCTAGACTTGAGTCCTGGTTGCTCTTCAACAGTCACTAAGATCATTGTCATCAATCTTTTATAACATGAAATAGTGTGAGTAAATTTCGGTTACTAACAGGCAGAATATTTTTGTCTTTTTTCTGCAAAGATTTTACAAATAGAGTGATTGGAGATTAATCAGTAGGTAATTTCTCTTTTTATTCTTTATTTCTTTTATTATTAGACTCTAAGGAAGCATACAATTCAATTATTTTTAACTTACATACGAAATATCAAGTTTCCAGCTCAGCTCTGATACCTGATGTGAAAGTAAATGCCGCAGTCCGGCTGCAGCAAAATAACCGGGGGGTGACGAACAACTTGTGTAGATTGATACAGCAGGAGTAGGAGCCGTTTATTGTAGGACAGGAGCGGTATTTATACATTCCACACAGCTTATCTAATTAACATAAACTAGATACAGCAGTCAACCAATAAGAAATCTCCACACTTAATGGCTCGCTGGCGTTACTTCACAAACCACTCCCTCTGGCAAAATGCCAGGCGCCATCCTGACTTGTTTACACACCTTAACATTATCTGATACCTGATGTGAAAGTAAAGATCATTTTCTGACCCCTACATGAAGGTTTTCTATAATTGTATATTACCATATTTCTATACAAAGGAAATCCTATAAAGTTTTTTAATCAGAAAAAAATTTACTTATTAGGTCATAAATTTATTTTTTAAAATGTTTAATGTCTACCTTCATCAGAAACTACTACCAGCCTCTTCCACACTTTCCTCATGGAATTTTTTACTTCCTTATTCCTGAAAGTATAAATCAAAGGATTAAGGAAGGGAGTTAGGATGGTGTAAAATATGGCCACCATTTTGTCATAGGGGAAGGCAGAAGGAGGTCTTGCATATACAAATATGCATGGTACAAAAAACAAAACCACAACAGTAATGTGAGATCCACAGGTGGACAGAGCTTTCCTCCGCTCCTCAGCACTGTGATTTCTCAGGGAGAACAAGATGACACCATAGGAGACCAGCAACAAGGAGAAGTTGATGATGCAGATTAATCCACTGTTGGCGATCACCAGAAGGCCTAGGACATGAGTGTCAGTGCAGGCCAGCTCCAGTAATGGGTATAGGTCACACATGAAATGATCAATGACATTAGGTCCACAGAAGGGCAGCTGGAAAGTAAAGAGAATCTGTATGATGGAATGCAAGAAGCCCCCTGTCCAGGACACACCCACAAGAATGCCACAGAGCCTCCAGTTCATGATGGAAGAGTAGTGCAAGGGCTTGCAAATGGCCACATAGCGGTCGTAGGCCATGGCTGTGAGGACAATTACCTCTGCTCCAGCAAGGAAGTGCTCAGCAAAAAGTTGAATCATGCATCCTTTATAGGAGATGGTTTTTCTCTCATAAAGAGAGTCCACAACCATCTTTGGTGTGATGACAGAGGAGAAGCAGGCATCCAGGAAGGACAGGAATGCCAAGAAAAAGTACATGGGGGAGCTCAGCAGTGCAGGGCTACAGAGGATGGTCACTACAATCAGCATGTTGCCTCCAACAGTTGCAATGTAGACCAACAAAAACACAATAAATACTATTTTCTGAATTCTTGGATTATTAGAAAGGCCCAGGAGAACAAACTCAGTTTCAGTGCTCTGGTTTTGCATGATTTCCAAGGAAAAGGTGAAGGTAAAACTGTGATAATGTAAACATATAATTTGGATAAAAAAATTGCTTCAAGTTATTTGTAATATTACAGTCATCAACTAGCTGCTGCAACATTAGGTGGACTTATCTTGAGTGCTTTCGTTATCACTGAGAACATATTATTAGATATTTATTGAAGGCTGTTGTACATCAGGCAATATTGAGGTATAGATAAATTCTTGTATATTTTAAGAAAAACAGATTTTCAATGTGGTGGAGGAGTTACTTTGTAAAAATCCAGCTTTAACCATTATGTAGTAGCTGCCTTGTGTATTTGATGAAAGGCATTCTAAAACCACTCTCAATTTGCAAACAAAGAAAGACTATTATTTATTAATTAGACCTTCCATAGGCGTAGGATGAGGCAGGTATGAGTAGCCTGCCATGCTTGATTAGGGGACTGCTTCATCTACCATTAGAAGAAGAAATAAGAGGCAGTTGAGGTGGCTCCTGACAACCATGGATGCTCCTCAAAAATTTCTTAAAATCATTGGAAAGAATTGGTCCTGTGAATGAGAGGATTCATTCTTTATAAAACCAAAAGATGTATAATACAGCGCATAGCTCTACTATATTTGATCTATGAATATATACAAAGTTTTGAGATTTTACTTGCCATTTATCATTTAAAAATGTGAACAAAGTTAACAAAAATAACACCTGTTTTATGCTGAATAAGTGGAACAGTGCAGGGAAAGCAATTGCATAGGACCCACAATCTGTGTGAGGTTTTATTATCCATATTTGTTGTAGAGGAATATGTACTTAAAGCTTAATTTGAAGCAAACGACAGATGCTTGATTTAGACTTTTACACTGAATCTCTAGCTCCAAAATTCAGTTTTCTCCCAGAAGATTAGCAGAGAAAGGACTAAGACATTTTCTTTTCCAGCAGTAAGTTCAGGGAAGCCATGGTCTCTCTACAGTTTTGGTCCACCTTGAAGTTTAAAACATATTATTCCTTTGCTCATGTTTGAATGAAGAATATTGAGAAAGGAATCAGAGCGCATTATGAAGAGTCAGCAGGCACTTGTCCAGCCACCTACAAATGCATATTGGCAAAATGTAGGTGAGGAAAGGAATAACTGGGTGAATAAAACTTAGAGTCTTGAGACTTTATTATTATATATTAATTATTTATACAATGTGACCCTACCTGAGCAGATATAATCCTTCAAAACACACGGTTCCAAATTTATTTATTGTAAATGACTTTATTGTAACATAGAAATGTTCATAAGCAGCTTATGTACTCATCTCCAAGGATTATAATGATGGTAAAATTTGGTAACATATAAATATTAATTATAAAAGGTCCTTACTTGAAAACCAGGTGTTTTTACCCACAGGAAGCTTTTCCATGATTCTCCAGATAAATACTCCCAACTCTTAAAATCATTTGCTTCTGGTTGACACAGCTTCAAAAGGTGACTGTATTCACACCTGTGCATATGACAGAATCACAAATAGCATTTGTGTCTGTCAATATTTATATACATATATGCATACATATGTATTTTTTTTGTTGTTAAAATACGGAATTGAACCCTAATTGGGCTTATTCGAGAATGAAAAATGGGCCTATATGTATGACTTTCCCTTACAGCCAACAGAAACAAATTGGAATATTAATAAAGCTAACATGCACAACTGTGTGCCTTAGTGTATGTCATCTGCTAGTTTGACAGCAGCCACTATCACTGTGATTTCAATTCATTCTTCACTGAGGTATGCAACATGAGCCCTGTTTCCACTGTGAGCTCTCTGTCCACCCCTCACATCTTATCACCAAGGAAAGGAGAGTATAAAGTAAACCCTACAAGGTCACTGACTCAGACAACAGCCCTAGAAGATCAATATATAATTTAGCAGGAGTCAGTTTAGCCAAACTCATGAAGACCTGGCTTCCAAACTTTCTGAGACTAGGTTAATCATAGCTCTCAAAACATCTAAAAGCCTCAAGTTTATGCTCTGTGAATGAGTTTAATAGGAAGGGCTACTCACCTGGTTCTTGTGAGAGTCCAATGAGGCCATCCACTAGAAACATCAATGCAGTCAGAAATGCAGATAGTGGGGAGGGGCCAGAATGTCCTGCCATAGCCAGGGACACAGCGCACAAATGACAACCTTTGCTCCTGACTCCTGCCTCACCCGACAAGGCTAACCAGTGCTTTTCCTCTTGTTGATTTACAAAGGTCAAATATTTGATTGTTGTTTGCAGTGAAGAAATGATACTTTTTAAATACACAACACCTTTAAATGTCTTTAGCTTTCCTTGAATGCATTACTGTGACCCTGAGACCCACCTGGTTCCATTCCTATTTCCTGTACAAAGAAATCCAAACTGAGTGAAAAGTTAAAAGGAAGACAGGTCCCTATGTTAGTAGGATACTTAAGGAACTCTTATTTATTCATTGTCTCATCATCTTTATCTGGAAGTGTTTTAAGAAAAAAACACCATTTTGGGATTAAAGATTCATCAGATACAAACAAACCAACACTTTCTTTTTTCAAGTACAGAATTTCCAGAATTAGTGCTAAAACTTCAACAACAAAGAGTATAGTGTGCTCATGTTTTTTGACCACAAATTTTGTGATTTTAGATCATTAAAAGGTAATGTCTTAAATGTACTGTACTTTTCTGGACTGAATCCTACTATGGATAGTAGTGGAAAATTATTTAAATATAGATAAAGTTTTGTATTATTACTATTATTATTATTATTATTATTATTATTATTATTAAGTGGTACCAGGGATTGAATCTGGGGCACTTAACCACTGAGCCACATCCCCGCCCCCCTTTTTTTGAGACTGTCTTGCTGTGTTGCTTAGGGTCTCAATAAGTTGCTAAGGCTGCCCTCAAATTTGTAATCCTCCTTCCTCAGCCTCCTGAGTGGATGAGATTACAGGCATGCGCCGCCATGTCAGGAAAAGTCTTGTATTATTTGCTGACATCTCTTAGTCTTGACAAATGTGCCCATGGTAACATAAAAAAAAAAAAAAAACAGTATTAAAGGAAATTAAGTGAGTAACATATTAGAACCCTCTATACCATCTTATTTCAGTTAGTTTAAAATTATTCCAAATTAATACTTGAGCACAAATAAAAAAATCTGTTCAGTTTTCTGTCAAAAAGGTAGCAATCCCAACTTCATGGTTAATAGCTGTGTGCTACTAAATGACTATCATGCCTAAGCTTTCTGATCCATAGAAAGCATAAATCTAAAGGAAGATGTGAGTATTTATATCAGCAATATTTTAAGCAATGTCTGCATAAACAAAGTGAGATAAAACTGAACCAGTCATAAGAATAAAATACATTTATTAAAATCATACTTTAAATGACTCCTGCTCTAAAATGTAAACAAAATTTATTAATTCATTTAATACTGCTAAAAAATTATAAATGATTCCAAATTATAGGTATGTTTGTATTGCTTATACTAGTAACCACAGACATATAAACTTATTATATTAATGAAAAGAGATGTAGAAATTTTACATTGGAAATTTATACAGTGTTAATATTGGCAATTAAGAAATGTCTAAAATATTCAGCAATTAAGATGTCCATATAAATGAAATTATTACAACTTATCATAACTTGATACTATCAATAAAACATTAATAACATGAAAAAATATAAAGCATTTTATAAGTGAGAAATGCAGACAAAAAGCAAACACTGATTATTTATAAATATTTTAAATATAATTTTATAATTTAGAAGGGAACAAATAACAATGAAAGATATTTTATTTGGAAAATGTGTTTTGTTACGATTGTAGGAATATTTAGAATTAAGCATCAAGATTAAAAACTGAAACATCAATTTTCTTTAAAGTTCAGAGATAAAATATGTGCTTTATGGTTAATTTATATGCACAGGTGGAACTATTACGCTAACATACCATAGCGTCTTATATTAAAATTTTAAACTATTGAAAACTTTCCAAAAATGACCACATTATGGACCCAACCCTCTCTAACCTATATATATTCTTCAATATCAAATTTAATTCTATATTATGATGTAGGTAACAGGTTTCACTGTCCATATTTCTCCTAGAACACTCCTTGTTCTCTCCTTCCTTGATACCATACTCTTGAATATGCTGGCACTGTTCCTGAGATTGCACAGGGGTCCCTCAAATCATGACTTGTGGCTAGTAGCCACCTTCTTGGGCAGTGACCTAGGAAGTTGGTCTCTCTGTGCCCCACTATTCATACTACTCACTTTTTTTCTTCCTAACAAAACTAATTATTTAGCAGCAAAACTAATTCTCGCACCAACTTTCTGCAAATAATATAATTTATGTTTTAAATTTTATTATTTACATATACAAACATATACTTGAAAACTGTAAGAGAGATCTGTAATTAGGATGTCATTACAGGCAGTATTTTTGCAATTGTACTTCAAGCAATAAATTTCAGATAATTTACATGCACATGGATGTACATATCAGTCACATTTTCATATATTTTATTAAATAATTATGTTACTAATTTAAAAATAAATAAAAATCCTATCTATAATTATCTTTTAAAAAAATACCTTAAATTTAGTGTATATTTGATCTAGGATTCTTCTTCACCAATTAAAGATATATCTCTTGTCCTGCCTGATTAAGTGTGTCCTATCTGATTAAACATATTCCCTTTCCTGGCTATCTAAGATATACATTATTTTCAGATAGCTGGTCCTTTCCTCTGCCCTTAGTATAGTTGTGCCAATTTCCTTAGATATCTCAACATTTATATTTAATGTGGGTGAAAAAATATCCATTCTCTGCTGGTTTTCTTCTTAACAGATGCCTGAACTTCCTTCTTTTCTGTTGTCTTAGTGATTTAGCTAATGGTAAGGGTGAGACCAAGCTATGACGCTTAGTCTTGAAGCAGTTCTGTACATCAGTCACTTGAACTTTCCTGAATAATTCTGCAACAGGAACCCAATG